GGTTCAAAAAGTCTGAATAGATCCCAACTTTGGACCAGCTTGACATTTTTTATAGGAAAAAAAAAAGATAATAACCATTAAATCAAATAAAGTATTAATTGCATTTTCACTTTATTGACAGGTCATGATTGTATTATAAGAAAATTGAAGATGGAGAAATGGTAATGGACGAGGCACTCTTGAAAACCTTTTCTAAGAATAACTACTTTCCCACTAAAATACAGGTGTCGATGGTTTTTGAGAATATGTTATCTTAAAATGTGTAGGATATTTAATGGTGTGAATACTCAAGGCTAGCTGCATTCCTTGAATCTTCTCATGAACAAGTTTGAAGAGAAAATTGGGAGAAATAATTAGGAGTGAGTAAAATTAAATTAGAGCAATTACTCATCTAAATTAACTATAATTTAAGTAAAATGGTTTAATTTAATTGGTTCATTAGATCAATTGGTCTAAAATGTTTAGGACAATTGATTTTTTTATCGGTTCTTGATTTTAAATTTTTGACATCAATCTATCTAAAAAATCACACTAAATTTTTATATATATTAGTATATATAATATTTTTTATATATTAAGAAGAATTGATAGTAAATTTAATTAATAATATATTTAAAATATATTAGTTTATTATATGTACATATACAAATCATAATCGCAATAATTTAATTTTAGTTATATATTTATTTATAAATTTGTATTAAAATAAAATTATAAGTTATATATTTTAAATGATATAACTTTATATTAATATTATAATATATGATAGTAAATATCTTATATATTAATATGTTATAGTTATTACACCTAAGTAATGTTCGTAATATAAAGTGTTATGAATATATATCTAATTGTATAAATATTATATATATATACATATATTTAATTTATACTTAAACATTGCTATGACTTATAATAAACTTTATTTATATGATTACGATTAATAATTTTATCAGTTATCACCTTAGTTTTTATAACATATTGTTTATAATTACTTATTATTTATATAAATTTTGATATAAAATATTATAGCATATGAGTTGTGTCATTAATTTCATATATACATAATAAAGTAATATTATATATATACATATACTTAATTTATACATAAGCATTATTGTAATTTATAATAGATTTTATTTATATTATTACACTTAATAATTTTATTAGTTATCACTTTAGTTTTTATAACATATTGTTTATAATTAATTATTATTTATCCAAACTTTGATGTAAAAATTAAAATATTATAACATATAAGTTGTGTCACTCATTTTATATATATAATAAAGTAATATACTACATACACATATATTTAATTTATATATAATTTGCATATTTTATAATTATAGATGAAGTTTATAAGTTTTAATATTGTAATTTATACCAAAGAGTAAAGATGACATGAATGTATGTTCTTAGGTTTATTGGTTTATATGCACACAACACCAAAGTTGATGGATTGAAGTTATTGAATATGGCATGGTTTAAACATGGTGTGTAACTTGATTTCTTTCTTTTTATTTTATTAGAATATAAACTCTTGAAGTTAATTACCTTAAACATGACATGTAATTTCATCTTTATCTTTGTATTTCATTAGGATAAAAACTCTTATAGTTAAACACTTTAAACTTAATGAGTAACAACTATTTTTGAATATGACATGTAACAACTTGTTTTGCACATGACATGTAACAACTTATTTTGAATATGACGTGTAACAACTTGTTTTAAACATGACATGTAGTAATAATATTTTTTAAATATAGCATGTAACTACAGGTGAGCAATGGGTAGATTAGGTGGTTTGGTCCGTCATAAGTAAGGACCAAGTAGATCAAATATTTTTAAAAAACCGATCAAATATAATGGAAACCAAATCGACCAAACATAGAGTTGGTTTGGTCGGTATGGTTTTGAATCAATAGAACAAAATTTTATCACTTTTTTTCACAAATTAGAATATAAAAATTTATAAATTTCATCCATAATTATAAAATATATAAATTATATATAAATTAAATATATATAATATATTACTTTATTATATATATGAAATTAATGACATAACTTATATGTTATAATATTTTAATTTTTATATCAAAGTTTGTATAAATAATAACTAATTATAAACAATATGTTATAAAAATTAAGACGATAACTAATAAAATTATTAAGTGTAATCCTATAAACAAAGTCTATTATAAGTTACAGTAATGCTTATGTATAAATTAAATATAAGTATATATATATAATATTACTTTATTATGTATATATGAAATTAATTACACAACTTATATGTTATAATGTTTTATATCAAACGTGGTATAAATAACAACTAATTATAAACAATATGTTACAAAAACTAAGGTGATAATTAATAAGGTTATTAAGTGTAACTATATAAATAAAGTTTATTATAAATTATAGTAATGCTTATGTATAAATTATATATATAATATTTATACAATTATATATATTTATAACATTTTATATTACGAAACATTACTAAGGTATATTAATTGTAACATATTAACATGTAGGATATTTACTATCATGTATTATAATATTAACATATTAGTTATATCATTTAAAATATATAACTTATAATTTTATATTAATACAGATTTATAAATAAATACATATATAAAACTAAAATTAAATTACTATGATTATGATTTGCATACATACATATAATAAACTAATATATTTTAAGTATATTATTAATTAAGTTTATGATCAATCCATCAACACGTAAATAAGCATGAGGAGGGGCCAACGACAATATTTAGACTGAACATGGAGTTATAAGATCAGGAACGGCATGGATAAGTGGCATGATAGTTTGCTCTCAATGTTTGTTAGGAATCTAAGTGCAAGAATTCCATGGGGAGCTCTGAAAGCTATATTTAATGACTATGATAAGGTTATGGACATTTTCATCTCGAGGAATTCCAATAGGGTTGGTACTAATTTCGCATTCGTTGTAAGGAACTATAGAAGAACAAAAAAAAGCCATAAAGTTTGGGAACAATAGGTGGATTGATAGCAGGAAGATTGTTGTTACAATTGTACAGGAGGGAGAAATGGAACACATTCTGTTATCAGAGTGATGGTACTCCAGATTTTCGAAAGAACTCCAATCTAGGTCATATCTCTTTCAAAGATGCACTAATGGGAAGTTCTAAGTTTGGGGAGAGGGAAAACTTTGGAAAAAGCAAGATAGTGAAAAAACTAGAGACGGTGAAACCTAGACCACTAGAGAAAGGAAAATAAGCTACGGAACTAAAGGTTGATGTGGACGTCCCAACAAGTGATAAATAGTGGATCAAAAGAACTACTTTGAGAATTGTTATTCAATTTTTTACCTACGCAAGTATACGTATTGCAATGATAATATTGTAATGAGTAGAGTGTCGATCCCATAGAGAATTGAATTGCTTCTTACTGTTAACTATTAAAATTGTAATATCTTAATCTTATCCGAACAATTAAATTTAAAATTATTAAAAAAAAATTAAAACTATAAACTGAAACTAAAATAGTAAATTTGTTTTATAAAACTCATTTAACTACCAGACCTAAAATTATGATATCTCTCAATACTTCATCTGATTATTATCTTTCTTTCTTAAATTAGTTTATGGATTACGTTATTAACCTAGAGTCCTAAATTATTTATACGCCTCTATTGAGTTTCTTATAAAAATACCTCTCCTAATTTATTTACTATATGTCTATACAAATTAAATTGAAGAAAGATTCATTAAGTTTGTGCACTAATTACGGCTACGTAGATGTATGTCTACCTTATGTGCAAATCAAATCACCTAATCAACTAA